AAGCTGCATTTGATTGGTAAGAGGGCACGAGAGCCAAAGGAGGCAAAGCCACCCCACGGGGAAGCGAGAGCCACAAGATGTGGAAACCGCTGAGATGGTAACAGAAGTTGACCTGAGACGGTCTTCCAAAGGGTTGGCTTCTCCAGCTCTGTGGATAGTTTATAACATTTGGGCAGGGAATACTCACTGCCTTCCACAGTCTTCTGGTATGAGGTGATGAGCGCAACGCGGGGACGGGAATAGGAACAAAATGGGTAAGGAAATAGCCAGGCCCTGGGGTAAGAGCCAGCCAAGTCCTGGGCAACCCTCTTTGTCCCTGCAGCACAGGATCTGTGCAGGCAGCAGAGAGGCGGGCTGGGGTCAGCAGCCCATGGGTGGGCTTAAAGACATTCTCTTCATCAAAATCTAAACTGGGGGCTGAGCACATGTCAGCAAACGTAAGCACAAGAAGGCCTGGAGGGTAACAGGGGATTGGAAAACCAAGATACCTGGTATACACAAGCTGTAAGTCCAAACTCCTCTGGAGCGGGAAACATTAGGTACCAACAGCCTGGAAAACCATCTCGGGTCAACAAGTATCAAATGCTAATCCCATCTCCCAGGGCACGCTGGCAGATCAGGGGAGTGCTGGGAGACCCAGGTGGCCTGGGCAACAGACTCAGACCTTACCTGCGAGTGCCAAGGTGCCACGTGGTGGACGATTTTGCTTGTGAAGTGAAACTGCCTTACGCCTGCTGTGCACTGGGGGTGTCCAGATGGGACCCGAAGATGAGCTCAGGTACTGCTTGGGAAGCTCTGCGTAGTCCAGGCTCTCCTTCACTTGGAGCAGCTCCTAAGCACCCACACACACAGCATGACCAAGGCAGGATGGCAGCAAGATCTGTCTCTCAGGGGCTGCCTGGAATTTAACACCAGAGGAAAGATAACATAGACATACACAGCACCCAGGCTGCACCCTGCTTTGGGAATGGACCCTGACAGTATGAATGGCAGGGGTTAAATAATGCTTAAAAGGTTAATTCAAACACCAAAACACACAGACACATGACACACGACTAACATTTCTTGTGGATCTGTCCTCCAGCCTCTAACACCTCCTGCATTACAGAGACAAGGGGAAGATATGCTGTAAGTGGTTGCAAGCTATATATTTGTTGTCTAGCCCAACAAAAAATGAAATCAATATTGAACTACTGCCTTTCCTCTGTGAGGACACTCATTTAGTTCCCTTCAGTTTTCACAATGCCTTTAGAAACCAAATGCATTAAGTAGGTCAACAAGCCCAAGAGGAGAGGATCGATGGGCAAGACAAGCTTGGTCATATCAGCTACACTTCCTCAGCAGACCAGACCAAAGATGACGTGTTCAACAGCACATCTCAACATTTTGCATCCCCCAAATGATTTTTACCACTGTTCATTCAGTCACACAATCCCATATGCTACAAATACAGGATAAAAAAAAACAGTGGCCCTACCTTGGTATTGGTGTGCTACCCCAAAGCAACCAGTAACCTACACCAGCTGTTGGATGGTCACTACATGGTTGGAGAAACACATCAAAAATAGGTTGTAGCAAGGAGCGTAAGTGTTCCCTGAAAATAATTTGCCAAATCTGGCAAGCATCAGGCACCAAGCAAAGGGCTCACACAAACAGATCCATCCACGTACTCCGGAGGTCAAAGGAACAGCACGAGATGCTTGCAGGAGAGCACCGTCATTGCCTTGTCCAGGATCATGTGCAGACGCAGCCAGTCGGGGAAGGTCACCTGCACCTATGGCATGGACAGCACTGGGCTGCGATTCATGGTGCCACTGCAGAAAGCAACCCATCTTCACGGTCGATTGCCCTGCTGCAGCACAGTGCCTCTGCCTTCTCCCACCATGGAACGTCACGACAGCTGAAGTTGACCGAAGCTCAGAAAACTGTGTAAGGCATTACAGGGATAAAACACAGAGTACAGATCCCTGCACCCAGGCTTTGCTGGGTGAATCCCTTTGCTCCTCTATCCAACATAGGCAGGGTGGAGAAATCTAGGGAAAGGAAGTGCCAAGAAAAACAAGGAAGGGGAGGTTTGATCCCAACGTTACCCTGAGATAACACGCTGAGGGTCCACCAAGGCCAAGAGTTCATTCCAAGTGTTTTGCGTTAGACCTGCCTTTGAAGCCTGATGCACTTTCCCTCCCTGTTGCGATTTCTGCAGCTGCCCCCAGGATCATCAACATCACCGTCAGCTCCAACGGGGACCGCACCTTCCAGGCACGCTGCACTGCCGAGGGGGAGCCAGCGCCCGCTCTGACCTGGACCGGACCGCCCTACAGCAACCTCACCTCCACCACCAGCATGAACCATCGTGTCACCAAGGAGCTCCGGTACCTGACCCATGATGGAAAATACACCTGTACTGCTGTCAACAGCCACGGGAGAGCAGAGGGGGCTGTGTACTTCTATAAATTCAAAGTATCCAACAGCTCCTTCTTCCTAATCCTGATCTTTGTCCCGCTGGGAATTAAAGTGCTTGTTTTGCTGGTGATACTGGGCTTCACCGTTTTCTCGAGAGGAGGTACGTATCGCTATTTGCCACGGTAGTCTTCCTCCATCAGACTGGGAACCAGTGTAGGATGTGGCAGATAAAATAAGGCAGGAGGGGTTGGTTTTGGGGTTTTTTTTAATGTTTATATGATCTTCCACCCTAGGAGAAAGGCATTTCTAATGGGAAATCTAAGAACAAGTAAGAGGGACCTGCCGGCTGGCCAGCCGGAGCCTGCAGACTGGAGGTCTGCTTCGGGAAGGGACCTTTGAAAAACAGAGGGAGCAGGAATTTCCCGGTGCCCCAGGAGAAAGGTTAATAAACTAACAGATGAGCAATTAGCAGAGAACCCACTGCCTACACAACCAGATTTTTAATTTTTTTTTTTTTTCTTGAAGCAGACTAATTACTACGTCTTTCCCTGTAGCCCGTGGGCAGGATTTACCTTTGCTGCATCCCACACAACAGTTTAATCTCCTGGGGTGGGCATCCTTGTTTTACAGACCCGTCCCCTCTCAGCCCCCCAGGCCTCACTACCCAGGCACTTCCCCATCGTTAGTGAAATCCCATCACCCCGCTGCGCCAGGCCCACGACAGCAGGGAAACCCCAGCTCATAGGAGAGGAGAATCACCTCATGGACTGCAGGATGAGACCTCCCAAGACGACCAGAGGCCACTGGCCCCCAGCCCACCATCCCTGCTGTGCAATGGCACAGGGAGGAGGGGACCAGGAGGGACTCCAAGCTCTCCGTCTCTAGGTTGGATGAGATGTCATGTCACCGTAACTCATCTGTAGACAGTCTGATGTCAATGCCTTGAGAAAGCCACCGCTTGCCTCAAACTGTAGAAGCTGCCAAGACAAATCACAAATGCTTTCCTCCTTACATATACCAATGCCAAATTCCCACCCTCGTGAAGCGGACCACATGCCTGACAAAAGGTCTTCTCCTCATTCACTGGGGTGTCACAGCCACCCTCCAGTGCAGCTTCCTGACAGCTCTAGGTCAGTCCTGGCTCCCCAGCTCACTCTGACTACATTGCTAACCCACATCTTCCTTCCCACTTCACAGGTCCCTCCTCTGCTCCATCCAGCCTGGCTCGGTAAGGATGTCCTGCCTTCTAGTCACGTTATCCAGCAGGAGGGTGGAGGTGGCTAAGGAGAGAAATGCAACATGTCCTTGGTCTTTGCAACAACCTTCTGGCCTGAGAGCAGGCTCCTCGGATAAGGACAGGGTTGGGCTGATGGTCAGGCAAGCCGGTGTGAGGGACCCAAGGCTTGGGCACTGCTGGGAGGAGGCTCTGGCTTGGGTACAGCTGAGAACAGACCCAACTGATGTGAAGACACGGGACTGGGGCAGCAGGTTGGAGAGACCATGGTACATGGATACTACAGCAGCAAAGGGCTAGCAGAAGTCTAGGTGGGCAATAGGCCCAGAGCATGGTAGGAAGCCACATTAAACTAGCAAAAGAACCACCCACCTGAGGAGAGGTGAGGGGAACAGGCTGGGACAGGGTCTGTGCCAGGCTGAGGAATGATGAACGAGAGAAGGGAAACTGTGCAACAGAAACCTTCCCTCCTTCTGCCCCACAATCTCTAACGGAGCAGAAAAAGTGAAGTGCCCACACCAAAGCTGATGAGCTCTGCCAAGTGTAGAAGAAGGTATGGAGATACCAAACAGCCCACCTCAGAGCCCGCTCAGGTGGGGCAGGGCCTGATTCTCTGGCTGGCATCCATACCATGCTCCCACAGTCCCGTTGGCATTTCCCATTACCCAGCACAACACCGACCTTGGACACTCCTGGCCAGGCTAGAAAGGGATGGGAGGAAAAAAAACCAGAACAAAACCAAACCACAAAAACCCAAATAAACTAAAACCCAAAACCAACCCTTAGGCTAAAACTAAAGAAGCTGTATCTGAGGTCAGCATAATTATGTCTGCCGGGGGCTGCTCCCTTCCAACCTGAGTTATTCCTATGTGATGTCTCCTTCCCTCACCTTACCCAAGACGGCCATTTCAGGACAGTCAAGCACACAGCATCAGGACACAGACAAAGAAGCAATGGGGAATTTAATCCTACAGTTAAATTTGTAATAATTATTTGCAAAAGCACAGTTTTGCCGATTTCACAGCATCTAAACCATATTGCACCCTTGATTGTATTTGTATAGATATGTACATAGATAAAAGCTTAAAAACCAAGATCCTCCACACTCCACATGAGAAGATCCTTCTCAGGAGAGCTTGTCACAGCCTCCTGAGGCTCTGAGCCACAGGACAGTAGTAGTAGTAAATTCTAACGGTGTAGGAGATCATTCTGGTTGCTTTAGGACATAAAACATTAGATGTGACTCAGACACTTAAAAACTACCTGCTGCAGAAGGAAGGACCGGTATCAGACAGTACTGCAGACACTTAACCCGACCCTCCTTAACTACTAGCTGAGGCCACTTACAAAGTCTAGAGCAGCCAGAAATGTGTCTTCACCTTATTCACTTCTTCTACTGCCAGGCCACAACTGCAAGACTCCACCTATGAGAACTTTGACCGCAGACACGGCAGCAGCCGGACTTTGCCAACAGAAAGAACAGCATCAAGACGCAGCTGAGGACCTGGGCGGCCTCATCCGCACCCGCGTGCACGGTTCCGATTCCTGTCTGCTCTGTACAAGGGTGCCTTTTCCCAGGGACGCAAGACTGATGTTGACTGATGCACAGAAGGACAAACAGGCCTCGCAGGTCTATGATTTCCACGCCCACTGCTGCTTACAGGCAAGAGAAGCCCTTAGAGGGAAAACAGAAGAAAGTAAAAAGAAAACAAAGAGGGGTGGAGCCGGAAGAGCTGGAAGACACAGGATGTCAGTTCTAACCAACCTGTGTGTTTTTAGCCGTATCAGATAGTGTTTAGCAAGCAGATAGGTCTACCATTTGCTCACATCTTTTTGCTTTAGCGTTTTTTAAATGTTACTTCAGAAAGCAGTTTTCACCACTCCACTTGTGAAACCACATGCAGCTTCCTAGAGCCAGCAAGTGAATTATTTTCACATTTCAAATACCAGCTGGAATCTCTGCAGGGGTTTTTGATTACTATTATTATTCCTTAACTTCCAGAAGAATTTAAGAGTTTAAAGAAAATCTCAACTTTCAAGAGGAGTCCAAGCAAAAAGGAAAGGAGATTTTCCAAAAGCTGGTAGAGCTGAAAGCAAGCCATGCAAAGGGTGGTCTGTACTGTAACTCTACTGCAGCTCCTGCTAACGGTACCTGCTACACAAGTCCACGTGCACACACAAGCTGAATCTCAGAGCTTTGTGATCAATACGCTGTGAAAGTGCTCCAATAAACCAAAATTTTTTTTTTTTTAAAGAAAAAGCATTTATAAACAGTTTCTATCTCTGTGTTACGTGAAAAAGTTCCTCTGAGGTTTGAGTACTCATCTCTTAAATTCTTCTGTGATTAAGTCACTGTTATAAAGTCACCGGCCATCCACAATGAGTCTCTAACCCAACTGTGAATGTGCTTCAAGACCAAGTAAAGAGACCCAAGTCAACCTGGAGTCTTGGTCAGACAGACAAAGGTCCAGAAGTGGGCTGTGAAGAGCAATGGGTTGTCACAGAGAAGGAGCGGAAAGAATAAAAAACCAAGGAATGACAAGAACCTACTTTGGGGTTTATATCACTGGATTCAATGTTCTGTGCAATTATTCCAGTGCAGTAGCTCCAAAACTCTTCTCCTAATGATCCCAATTCTGGTAGAAACCACCACTGGCCAGGAGCCTGAGTTGCTACTGAATTACCATCAAGCCTGTGGTCCTGCTTGCAAGCTCACCCCCAGCCTAGGAGTTACTATTTTAAAGTTTACCTCTTCATAACATCTGCGCTGGGAAAGTAAAGCGCAACTTTAAATGACGTGGCCAGGATAACAAAAAAAAAAAAGGAAATATTTGAATGCCATCTTTTAAATCCCAGTTTAAAATCCCAGCACTGGCAAAGCCAGGTTTAATAAAAATAGGAAAAGATGCAAAGAGGAAAAGGAAGTTACAGCAAACAGCATAGTCATGGACCAGTAAACTCAGATTCACAGGAAGAAAGAGGCCTCAGAGAGATTAACTGGACAAACCGATTTGAATTTGTGAGCCCTTATGATTTATAGACATACATTAGAGTTACAAGAACCCGCAGGTACCCGTGTATGGGACTGAAGCTTGGCTTACAGGGTTTTTCTCTTGAAAACTACTTCATTTAACTCAAATAGTTTGAGTCCAGATAGAAGCATCAGACCTTGTGCCCCACTGAGTATGCCCCGTTGAATGTTATCAGCACCCTACGCACTGCCAGGAAATGCACGTCACAAAACAGCTACAGCAAACTTAGATGTGAGGAACTCGTGGATTAGCACTGTCCAACTTTTATTTACTCGGCTTCCAGAGCACAGTCCATGTTCGTGCAGTAAATGGGAGAACAAGGACGCCTGGGTACAGGAACCCCCCCCACCCCTCTACACTAGGAAAGGCACAGGAATGAGTTTGTCTGAATCCTGCCCCTCTCCCCAGTGAGGGACCTCTTTAACCCATCCTAACTCCTGCAAGATTGATCTTCAGTGGGAAGAGCCTGCTCTCACCATCTCCCTGCTCACTACCCACCGTTTCATCCTCTGGAAAGCAAGAGGTGTGGGGTGATGTGCAGAGGAGAGACCTCGCAGTCAACAAAATGGAGTGGAAGGAGCCCACTTCAGTGTACGTGCACAATAAAGTGCCTACAGGACAGTGTTGTGGGAAAGGTGCTCATTTCTTTTCTGAGAAGTCAGCACAATCGGGTGCCTCCCAAGTGGGGGGACAAGCAGGAGGAATTAAGAGGTCCGTGTGCAGGCACAGGGCTGCAGTCTCACCGAGATCACGGAGATGGAGGATAGCTCGCAAACCTGGAGTGGTGCCACGAATGCCTAGAGCCTCTTCAGGGTGGACAAGCTGGGATAGCGAGGAGGAGGAGGAGTTGTCCTTCATGTGAGAGCACAGCGGAAACGCACAAGGCACTGGCCAGGGGTGGAAGACCCGGCAGGATGCTGCAGGGTCAGCCTGCACAGGGTGCACTGTCTGCATGTTTCACGCATCTTTGCTGCTCAGACTTCTGGTTTTCCATTCCACTGACTTAAGTTAATGCCACATTCAGCCGTTACATCCATTTCCCTATTCGGTCTTATTTTCTTAATAAATATTTAAGCTGCAATCCACAGGCAACAATTCATCCCAATGCAACAACTGCTGTGCGAGTCAAACGTTCAAAAAGCCACAGATGTTTGTTCTCTGACTAAACTGCATGAATTATCCAAAAGGCACACTTGTTATTAAGTGGCTGACATTCCAATTTCATCTCTTTCCACTGCAAGTTACAATGCTAAAAACACAAAACTCGGTTTTCCTTCTGAGATTAGCTGGTTACATTCATGATGTGAAAAAGAACATTGCAATTTGGGGTAGGAGGGAGGGTGGGAGATGCTGGCAATACAGAAGTCTTTCCAGTAAAACCAGAAGAATTAAAAGTCAATCTGTTGGGCACCATTTAGAGAATGACACTCCATGCCCTGCAGTTCACGGTTGTGACAGTGGATCTGTTAGTTCACAAAACTGCTCCCCTGTATTTCAGGAGCACGGGTTCAGATTTCTACCACTACCATGCTCACCAAGAAGCCAAGAGACTGGTTTGTGGGCGAGCCGTACAGCAAAAGCAGCAGCTCGCGGTGAACTCTCCCTACTTCTTATCTTAGGACCTACCGTAGTATTATTCAGAGAGTACTTTAACCATGATAAACCAAATAATGTTCATCACAATTATTAGACTGAGAAGGGGGGGGGGTGTCAACAGCATCATTAGCATCAATTCTATTACATTCTAAGCAGTAAGTTATCAAAGAAGCTGTTTCAATGGTCAAGACAAATGGATATGATGATGATGTCAATGGTGTTTGCTGACAGCAGTGATCCCAGCCTGGTCCCAGCAGTGATCCCTGCCCACCAGCAAAGGCCTCAGCAAGGACACTGTACCACCAGCACTGGAGGCACAGTTTTCTCCTACTTCCCTCCACATTATCAGCTTTCCTCTCATTTGGGATAAATACCAAATTCCACAGTCTAGGTCAGCTGCGAGTGCTGAAAGACCTGAACCAGTGCGTCATCCTACTGTCACATTACACAAGAACAGGCTGTTGTCACACACACACACAGACAGACAGACAGACAGACAGACACACACACACACACACACACACACACAGATCATGTTAAACCCAGGACGTTAAAGAGAAGAGTCTCCAGGTCTCCATCAACTAAGCAACTGTATGGCATTCCCTCATCATATTTTCATCTCCAAGAACAATTATGTATTACCTGATGTGGATCCTTCCAGCAACTTGAAAATATCGTGGCGTTTATCACAAATTGATTTTTCATTTTTATTTTGCATGGTCTTTGCAGACATAGCATGTTATAAATACAACATTTATAAAAATCTCAACAGCTGAAACAATATCTTATTGTAAAAGTGCATGTCAAACACATATTTCTGACTTTTTCACATTTTTATGCAACTGATCAATTAACACTGAATCTAATAAAACCAGTGCTTTTAAATCTTTGGGGGGCAAAAAAGCAGCAGAATGTATTCTTCCAGACATGAATTTTCCAAAAGAGTCTGTTAAAAAACACGCTGCATCTGTATCTCGTTAATATACATAGGGATGTACATAGGTATATGCATACATATTTATTGGCTCGCAGATAGAGCAAAGAACTCTAAGACCACATTAAGATGAAGGTGATCTAATGACCCAGCTGGCACAGTTAGCAGAATCGGTCGAGAAGAAAAAGGTGATTTGTTCTCCAGCACTGGAACCACAGTTAAGAACAACACTTCAAAGCATTATTGACCAGACAGTAGGTAGCACATTTCCTTCCCCTAGTGACCAGAACTCATGTTTTAACATGTAACCATATTATAAACATAAAGGCACAATTAATGGAAGAAGAGAAGCAGCCATCATTTTTCCTTCATGGGGGTGTACAGATTGGGAGTGCAAGACCTGGGGCCGCCTCAAATAGATCAGTGATAAAAGGGACAACGTTAGACAGGCAACTGGGGAAACTTGCCTTCTACTTTCCCTGAACAAAAGTGCATCTTATGATCATACAAGGCAACAAAACCAGTGATCATTCAGGTGAAACAACAGATTTACAGGTTCATGGCTCATGCTTTGGCAACAGAATTTTAACAAGCGATCACCAGATTTAATATAAGAAAAATATCCTTTCACAGTGTCACCTGAAACCCTGGTGCCATGCCCAGCTAGACAGAAAATAAACAAACTCAAATGGTGGGTGTCCACTTCTTAAACCAGTATTTCCTAAACGACCAGACTTTCACAATTAAGGAATCCTAACATGAACATAACTGGCTGTTCCCCTCCCAGACACTGGGTGTCCAGAAAATCTGTCTCTGGATTTAAATCACCTGACTTAAAAAGAACTTGGCTAAAGTTACTTGCATTTAATCAAGCAATATGGATGCAGACTCACTAATAGTTGGGTTTTCCTATTTTCTAAAGTTCTTTAGTTTAAATTTTAGATTATATTTACGGAAGTGGGAGAAGATTGTAGGCATGCCTTTCAACTACAGATTTCCGTGGGATAGCAAAAAAAAGTCTAAATTTTAAATACTATCTTTCCAAATACAGGGATTTCACACGTCTCCAGACACACACTCACATAAGATTCAGAGGTACTCTGGTTAAGAAAGTCAAAACCTCTTTTAAGCACAATCCTCCACTCACTTTGAACTGGCCTGAGTGATGACATGTTGGAAAATAAAAAAGGCACAAAGCAAAAACTTAAGATGCTACAGGATGAGCTTTGCTGTCTAATGATTTGTACACCTATCTTCAGGTACCCTCCTCTCAGAGGTGCACCGTGCACAGCAAGATACTCGTGTTTTCAGTCAACAAAAACTGAGCAATTCCACAGGTCTAGAAATCAAAAGAAAAGAAAGACAACCTTAAAGAGGAAAAAACTTGCCAGTGTGCAGTTCCCATTCACACTTCTGACTTACGGTGGAACTCTGAAGGTAAAAATTACTTGTGCAATAACAACATTATATGTAAACCCAAGTAACCAACATTGCACGATGAGTCTGCGAGCTCAGTGGTGCTATCGTATGCTGTCCAAATAATGCACTTCTGGGTACAGAGTGTTAATAAGGAGAGCCAAGAGATTATTGCCATCTCGAAGACAATGTTCTGGATGCTTGATGAACTGAGAAGCCTGGGAGAGCTGCTCTTGATAATCCATATATTGTCTGTTTGATGCCATAGACTCAAGAGCATTCAGTGCCTATAGATACAAGGGAAAATTCTGTTAGCTGTGTGTGCTTTGGTCTCTAACAAACCAGTTCATGAGCCACCATATGCACAGTTCCACTAGAAGATCCTTATTTACTAGAGATCCTGGAGTACTCAAACAAAACATTTGTAAAATACAATCACTTAATAGTGTTTCAAGTCATCTCATATTTTTAAAGCGGTTCCTTCCCCAAGATCAGCACAAAACACTGTTCTGCCGAAGCTTGCTAGGATTCTGTAACCCAAATATTGTCAAATACTGACTTCATGACCTCAACACATGGCTTCAAGCAAATTACACTAACTACAAACTGCAACACACCTGACTATTCACTTCAGGTTGTTCTTATGAACATCTTTGACTTTCATAGAAGTATTATTTTACTCATGACATTTGGGAAACAACATCAAGTTAGAAGTTATATGTAAAAGAAACTAAGCTGGCAGTACCAGCCAGGGCAAATGCTGAAAACAATGAACAAGTTTCATTCATTTCTTAGAGACGAGAATAGAAAAAAGTTACAAGAAGTAAGTTACTTTGCTTTGGTTTCTAATCAACTCCTCCTTCCTCTTCTGGTGCACTTACTGAAACAGTAACACAGTCAGTACATGTGCTAAAGAAGGAATGTACATTTGTCGTAGGGCTTTTAAGCCCTGATCTCACATAAGCAAGCGTTAGTGTGAAGCTAGTCCTGCTTTATCACTGAAAAGCAGGGCAATCGCAGCAGCTTTATTTTAAACTCCTTCTACCTGTTATGTTCCAAAGTTTCTGAACTCAGGGTTTACAGATGTAAGTTCATCTGCAGCTTTGCAGCATATAAGACTAGAAACTGATGCCTTCATATTAATACAGAACGCTGTATAAACAGTTCTACCTAGGATCACTTTAGGTTAGGGCTCAGACACATAGTCCTGCTACAAGAGTTCAAGAAGCTCATCACCTGGTCCATGCTGAACTTGGCCTTATCTCTGGTAAATTTCTAAGACCAAATTCCAAGACCAAATAATTTCAAGACAGTGTTTTGATGTACAGTGAAATAGTACACAAGTTTGTGATGTACCCCCTTCCCCACGAAGACGAGAGCAACAAGCTATTTCTGAAATTCAGAATTTAGATCCAGATGCAAAGCAGTAGCAAAAAAAGGTTGAGGGCATTTGTCACCAAATAAAATCAACAAGTTGAGAGTAGGATTTAGCTTGAAGCGATGTTCGCAGTGACTCTTACGAGCCTCAGCCCACAAATTGAGCAACCACGTAAACAGGGCACGTCGAGAAGCCAGGAACAGGCACACACTACCTGCTGGGCCTTCTGCGACAGCTTCGGCTCTGACCCCGCTTTCAGACGGACTTGACTTTCTGCAGGAATCTGGACCAAGAGGAAGGCAGACAAACTGCGGGCCACCACCCGAAACCTTGCAAAGGGAAGACGACAGAGAGAGAAGGTGGCATCAGTTTTGCAAGTCCTCAATGGCAGATAAAACTGGAAGTTGTAACCCATGAGATATCTCTTGCTTAAGGAACACAGTAAAGGCTTTAGAGGACCTTTTTCAATGCATTAGAGGGAAAAAAAAATCACTTTAGTATCTACCTTTTACTATATCATACATACTAGAGGATAATGCAATATCACACATATAAATTATTACAACTGTTCAAAGCTTAGCTGAAGCCTTGAGGTCACATCTGAAATCCTCCTTCATTTCACAGCCTTTGAAACATTCTTGTCACTCAAATCAAAGGAGGAGTTGAAGAAAACTAAGATTTCAGAGCAATTTCAACAGGATTGCATCCCAGAAGGTCTTTCTAAACACAAAGTTATGTTTAGGTACTGTGCTGAACTGGCATTCCACAAACATGTGCATATTTTTTCTTGGCATTCTTTACACGGTGAACTTGATTCTACAACCTAATACCTAACAACTAAACTTGGTGTCTCTGCTTAGAAGGGAAAGTGAATAACAAACAAGCACATATTTGTGATCTTAACATTTCCAACACCTCAAGGTTAAGATGGAAAAGGCAACCTGCATGCAATCATACAAAATTCTTGTGAGGTCAACTGGAACAGTCTTCTACAGACCAGGTGAAAGAATTTTCTTCTAACAAACAGTCTCCCTACAAACTTCGCTGGACAGACATTAAGCCAGAATCGCAACTGCATTTTCTTTCCTTTCCACCACAAACTTTGCAGAAGTTCATAACCGCTGCTTAACCAGGTTAAAACAGTTCCTACATTTTTTCCTGCAATGGGTCCAAACAAATTTGTAGATTTCAGGACAGCACAGATTCAGAACATCTTTTGACATTGCACTGTACAGCCTGGATCCAGACTGATGACTCAATTTACCACACCTT